GTTCTACAACAGTTTCAACCCGTATAATACTTTGGGATTACTAAAAAAAATATAACAACGACAATGTTTTTCGTGCTTTTCGATTGCGTGCGAATTATGATAACCAAAATTAGGACACTACATTATTATATACAGTTTATACTATATAGCTATATAACATTGACACTGCTATCGGACCCTACGTTCCCCACGGCATGCGCGATCGCGCGCGCATCGCACACCCAATTCAATTCATTTCCGAGATTGCCACCGCCAGCAACTGTCGCCGATCGTAGGTCAAATTAATTCGTTGTATTACGTGGGTGTACAATGTATGTATATAAATTAATATAATATACATATATATAAATATACATTATGTCATATACGATGTGTGCGTGCGCGTAAATATATGCAACAACGTTGTTGTAATCACGTCGATACGTTAATTTCCCTGTGGGAAAACTTTGACTGAACCTCAAATTTTAATCCGYTCGAGTATATTATATACAATATACAAAGACTTATCCTGGGTGATTCATCAACGCCCAGACCAAACCGCTGGGTCTAGAGATTTGAAATTTTGTATAGAGGTTCCTTAAGCAATGTAGAGGCGCACTAAGAAAGGATTTTCCAAAATTCACATTTTAAAGGGTTGCAAACGGGGATTTTGGATTGTACAATATATCTACCAATTATAATGTAGTGTTTAGGTAATATCATATYGTATAATGATCGGTTGATGGGGTCTTTTACGGTGCTGCATGAAAAATCAATAATAATAATAATAATAAACTTAAACCGAAAATGGCTATTATTCCATTTATTTCTTTTTTATACAATCTAGATTCTAGGTAAACGTTTGTCTTGCGATACGTATCAAAATTCATATGGAAAAAATTAGTATAGGTATACTATATCATTATATCACTATTCATTTATTTTTTTATACATATTGTTGCAAAGTGCAGTAGCTATTTATTTAAATCATTTCAAAAATTAAAAAAAAACTTTTGAAATTATTATCATTATCTGARCAATAAAAGAAAAATCTAAAACTCCTATTTAAGACCGTTCAAATTGATTCTATACATAGTGTTATGTAAAATATTTGAAAAATGTCATTGAACCGCACTAACTATATTTTTGAAGAGTTTAGATATTGTGGCGCCACAAAATAGTAGGTATGTATAATGTATATGTATATGCAAAATAAATTATAAGTATTACATTTTTTCCTACGAATTGCGTGCGTTACCACAACGATCGCGTGATATTATCAAAGTTCAAAACGTATTATTATCATTAACATTATTAAAGTTCGTACCCAAGTATAATGATAATATTATAAGTACTAAATACGAATACTATTTTAATGTTTGTAAAACAAGTTGGTATGAACGTTCTTTTCAAGGAACATTTCCTAAAATGTACGTGACAATTTAAAAAGAAAATCCAAAATTAAATTAAATTATTTTTAAAATCGTCAAAGTTTAAATATGTGTACCTAAAGTAGAACGAACATAGGTACTATTTAATTTTTAAGGTAGCGGTTAATTATTAGTATGTACTAATGTACTTGAAAACACTGTCTCGTTGATAATGAAAGATAACGATGGGATTAGAAGGATAATTACATGTTGTCTAACGACAGCGCAGTTGAGTGGTTTACAATGATGGAGAATATAATTTTGTGTTATAAACAGTGAATTCTATGGTGAACAATGTGAAATAACATCTGTTTAAATAGCTAAGTTATTTTTCTTTTTCTTGTATGATTTTAATTAATATTTTACACAATATCGGTTATTTTTATTAACCTGATATTATGTTATGCGGACGATTAGTAAGATAGGATTATCTATTTTTCCAATTATTTGAGTTCTAATAGAAAACTACTTATGTACTTGAACTAACAAATTGTTTAAAAGAAAATACTTGCTTTTCTTACCTCCCGTTCGTTGGTGCCGAATCCAATTCCAAGATTTGGCATTGCTCTTAATATGGCAACCAGTGATTGGACTGTGTTGCTGAAAACCACAGGCCTGTATTGTTTGAAGTCTTCTGACGTAAAACCGCTCTCATGAATAATTCTGAAATCACACGAATTTGATTAAAAAAAAATTWAAAAATATATATWTTTTAACTAGGTAGAGAGAATAAAAATCCAAATCATATAATATAGTTTCATGACAGAGAATTTTAACAGTATATAAAACAAATACTAGGAACTTATTTCAATCTAAATTATATAATTTCATAACTGTAGAACGTAAAAGATTAGGTATGACCATATAGCAAAACGCCAAGTTTACAAAAAATTATTAAAAATATAATTTTCAACAAAATAAATATAAATACACCACAATTGATAGTTTGAACATGTTTCAGTTGACTAATATTATAAATCTATGCTATTTAAGTATAGAAATTGCTCTTAAAATATAATTATTTAAAAACAAATAATTWATTTATAAAACATAGTATTTAACAATAATATTATGTATTCTTCTACAGTAGGGTACTAGGCAAGCCAACAAGTGATAAAGTTTGTATAGAACAGAAAAATATTTAAAATGTGTTTATAATATAATTGCGGATACAGGATAGCGGATATTTAACATGAATGATTTAGTTTTTAACTTTGCAGAAGGGTATATTATAAATTATAATATACAACTAAATTACCAACTCCCTTCCTAACCAATCCGCAACGTTACGTATTAAAGCCTGGAAAGTGGCCGAATTTTCTGATCAAAGAGAATGTTTACATTTTATTGATACACAACATTTCAAATTTCAATGAATAAATTATTAACACCTCTTTGGACCACCTCTTCGATTACAGAACAGTCGTTCATTTTACCAACTCCGACATCAAAGTCAAGTCAGCTATCTAATTTTTATATAACCATGATTATAAAGTAAAAAGGTGTAGAATTGATTGAATACATAACATATAGGTATATATTTGAAATATTGAAATAAAYACAATTTATACAAGAAAGTGCAAGGCTCTTATTATTTTATTGYWATGTAAAATATGGAGATATTTTATAATTATAATATGAATTTATARGAAATTTATACACTGGCCTCATAATAAAATGTATTTTGAAAAATTGTTTGAAGTGCAATGACCACTTCTCAATAGTATAATATTGACATTTTTCATAATAGATAATATACTACAGAAATTATTATGTTACATGTAGTGGTGTTTTTTAGTCCCCTATTAGTTACCATGGTGCTTTTTATAACCTACCATAATAAGTATAGACCAGGCGCGGATTCAGGGGGGGGCTATGAGTGCTCGGGTACTCCCTATCATCTAGCCACCAACAAAATAAWTTTATGTTATAAATTAAATTATTTGTTATTTTTCAAAATAAAAATAATAATAATATCGGTGCTTTTCGTTATCACCGTCACATACGTCAATAATAACTATTATTGTTAATTGTTTTCGAAGTATGTAACGACACGCGTCGACGGCGGAAAGCTCCGATAACAATTATTATGGGAAAAAAGTTAGCACTAATAAATCAAATAGTAAATGATAATATTTAAATAAATAGTAAGGTATAACAATTTTTTTTTTTTTTTTGAGCACCCCCTGTTAAATTTTTCTGGATTCGCGCCTGTTATAGACTTAAATTATTAACTAAAACAGCAAAACATAATATTATTATTATTCCAACAGTTTGGAAGTGCATGAAATATTAATATACGTTTTTTAGTCATTGAAGTAATGACGAAATCTTGTCAACCCAGGGAATTCACAATTTATTTTAGCAGCTAATGATTATAGTAAGAACTTGATTTGAATAATACAACCATCKTTATTATTTTAAAAACAAGTATTTTTTTTTTCATCTTAATTAGTCGTTAACATGAATTTGAACTATTATATATTACTAAAATATATTACTCAAAAATATAATATAAATCATGTAAAATAGTTTGTGTATTTTTTTTTTATTCAAACCACTCTCCATTAGCTATTCTAACGTTCGCATTCCATTGCACACACTGCAGTGTATGGGAGATCGTAAATATCGATGTATATGTTTCTTTTTAACATTTTTGTATTTTATGTCGATCCGTCTGCAAGGAAACATATGGCATTACAATATTTTCAATGTGAGAGCAATTTCCGGCATCTATAAATACAACATTGTCGTTAGCATTTTGGTAAAACCACGGGACTGGTCATTGATGGGCCGGTATATAGTGGTGGCGTTCGCGTGCCCAGTGAGACGGGTGCGCGTGGGAGTATCGATCCGGCACGGCACCGCCGCCGAGGAGTCATCAAACCATGTTTTGTGGTACACATTAACATCGTTGCTTTTAATACCGGGGCGTGGTCGGTCTCATCGTACCTATATATATAGTCGCGGAGACTTGTATTTTTGCAAACATCGGACATTTATATCATAATTTACTGAAAAACGTTTAATTCCATAACATACGATCGTATTTTCCACGATGTTTACCTACAGGTAAAAGGGATATAATTTGCACAACTTGATAAAATCATGATTCATGACGTTTACAGTTTATTAAATATAATTAATTAAGTATGAAACCTAACCTAACATATTTTGCATTTATTACCTACATTCTTTAGAATAATATTGACATTTCTAACAGGACGTTACACAATCGCGTGTGTTGTCTCAATCATCTTATAGACGAATCACGAATGACATAGCAAAATTGTGTCCATCGGTTCCCATTTTGTAAAGCAACCTTTAATGGTAGAAAAATTAACCTTTTATCAATTGTAAAGTTAAAAATATTATATGTATTTTCACATGGAGTTTTACAATATTTTAATTTTTAAGTAAGTTATATAGGTAAATTAGTAGGTAAATTACAATTTAAAAATTCGCATAACTAACTTAAAAATGTAAATATTGTGAAAATTAGTGAAAACACAGATATTATTCTTCTAACTTTAAGTTTGATAATGTTTGAAATTTGAAATTTTAACATATTTACTCTAAACTACAGTTTTAAAATTACTAATTATGATTAAAATACAAATCTAAGCATCTTAAATACATTTTGATTTGTTGTTCTAAATTTTCATATTATTYGAAAACAAATTATTGTATTACCTACACATTTTAAATTTGAAAACATATGTATATTATAATGTAAAAATAAATAGGTATTCTTAAATAACGTATGTAAAAGTATTAAATCTGTGATTCGCGTTCTTACTTATTATTGCAATATAATATAAATGTTGACTATAATTTGTTTTAATTACATTTTAAAGGATTTTCGTTAATAATAATTATTACCATTAATTATTAATACTAGATATTACACATTAAAAACAATTAGTCACCTAATCAAAGTGCTCCCAACTGTTCAAAAGTCGTGTTACTCATTAGTCATTACTTATATTATTATCAATACAAAGTATTAATCAGTTTATATTTTATACATATCTTACCTAATTTAACAAATTATTTTAAATAATTATTAAGCAAATAGAAGAGTACTATAGTATATTATAAATTATAATCATTAATTGAACGTTATTATTGTAAAAACWTTATATTTTACTTAAAATATAAGTCACACACTTTATTTGCTTCAATAAAATATTAAATTACGAAAAAAATTATACCTACCAGGTAAATATTTTTGTAAAGTTTAACCAGGTATCATATGACATATTTTGAACTAGTTTTATTTATATTATGGACAATTTTCCAATATAATTAAAATCAACTGTATTTTTAACAAGATTATATTAATTCTGAGATTAATCTTAGCAAACGATGTGGATTGTCTATTATGTCTTTAAAATCTATMTGGAAATATTAAAAATAAATCGTTTGACACCAGAGAGTAGTCTCACTTKTCATACTATTTTTTTTAAATGAGTTGACTCATCATTACACGAAAGTTTCAACACTTATTTTGGTTTGTATACAATATTTTCTGTTATTATTTTTACTTATTGATAACGTGAATACGCACGGTTTCGATTTTTTAATCAACTGCAATATACAAATTGGTTATAATTTTTAGATACCGTGCTTACTTCATTTAAATCAATTTTTAAATTCTGTGGGTAGAGTGTTACAGAAGTAAATATAATGTAATAAGAAAAATCGAAAAAAATATCATAAAATAAATATCATTATAGCCTAAGCAGGGGTCGCAAACATTTTACATCAAGTGAGCTACATTAAAAACTGTAAATATTTGGTGTTTAACCGCTATTTATTAAGGTAGACCAGTATATATATAATTTATATTTAATAATATTCTTCTTTTAATATTTCTCCATCGGAAAATTGTACATTTTTCATTGCTAATAAAATTAATAGTTTATAATGACTGGATATTATCTAAGATTACGYACATGAACAACCAATATTGAGATGATTAATCTTTAATACAATAAAACAATATTCTTCCAAAGATCGACCAGTCTATCGCGATTTACTGGATGGCAACCCCTGGCCTATAGGTATACAATATACATGTAGGTTCCGAAGTAAGACATTGAGAACATATCGAATATTATTTAAAACTATACATAATAATAAAATCTATTTCCGACTCTATTTCAGTATCGAATACCAAGAAGCTAAATATAAAGGGTACTTGAGTATTTGTTTAAACTAAACTAAACTAATGCATCACTTATAAAATCATATTTATAATAGATCAAAATATATTGTTAAAATATTTAAAGCATTGAAAGAAATTGTATTCATTAAATACACTCGTTTTTTGTATAAATAATAATTTAAATATGAAACTCACTTCATCTGTTTGACTATTGTACTTTTCCCTGATTCTCCAGCACCTGCAATCAAAACAATAATTATCTATTTGTTGATTCAAAATGTTATGAACACACGTAAAGCTTGAATACATAAAAAACTAGAAAAAACAATGGCCCAACCTAGCTGTATAATGATGTTTAACCTGTGTAGAATKTTTAACCTTCGATAAAYTTTTAATTCATGAATTCTAAATAACCTAGATATAATGAGTTATTGCTTTAACCGATCCCAAAAACGTTAAAAAAAGTGGTTATTTTAAATCTCGAAAAAATAATTTCTAATTCGGTTATATATATATACACACGATGACATCATCATCATAACATAATGACCAAATCAATTACTAATTGTATACAATTTTAAACAGCGACGACCGGTTGTCAGGCCTAGTGCAACGTTATAATTACAACACACTACACAGTAGCGTCAGTAGCCATCATACAACGAAACATTATTACTATTATTATTATTATCATTATTATTATAAAGTGGTATTTTTTTATTGTTAGAGAAGATCGTATAATTTTATATTATATACCTATCGTTTTACACGATGTTGAACATTTTTCAGGCAGTTTGTGATGTAATGTGTAGAATACATAGAGTATATAATTATTATTATAGATAATAGATATGTTTATCTATACTTTTTCAAACCGACGCGCGTTCGGCATAATATTTTTTATCTGGTTGGTCTTGGAAACGATTACAACGATTATTATAGTAGAAGCGTCATAAAAACGCACACATTTTTGTGCCACACCAAGATTTGTGTTCTAAATTTATTTTTTATTGATAACAAGAATTTGATAAGAAGATTCGTGATACACTCGTGGAAGTGTCGACAATCAGAGCGCCACTATACCTACAATTTATATTGTTAGTATTAAATTATTTATACTTGGAAAATTGGAGTATGCTTGTTGCTATCCAGGTAAACGTTAAACTAGAATTATAAAAATATTATATTATACACAATCCGAACGGTAAAAATAAGAAATTTTTATTCGTTTTCGGTGATCAATTTCCGTTCTCTAGCMCAGCCATAAAAACTCCAGTGTTTACGAAAAACTCGAATGTTAAAAAATCTAGTACGCGTGTATATCACACACACACTCACACATTGACATATACCTATATATATATATATATATTTATATATAGAGAGAGAGAGAGGAGGAGGAGAGAGAGAAACGTTACTACCATTACCGGCAGTGTGCATCAAAGGGTCGGTGGCGGTGACGGCGGCTTTGGCGGCGGTGGAAAATCGATTTCTCGCGCGTGGCGGCCGACTGCCGGGAGGGGATGAACAACACGGGAGTGCCACTTCTGACAGAAAACGTCCGTCCAACTACATCCTTATATTATATATAAAAATAATTATGATATTATAAATATACGAACGGAAATTATATAAAGAGTAATATATTATATTGTTATATTATGAYATCTCGATGGGAAAACGATAGGTTAGTTAGCGATTTGTTTTTGATCTCCCTCGCCCGTCATATCCTCTCCCGTTTGGTACCCACACAAACCACCCTCGACGCAACAACAGACACGACCTGCACCCTCGCGCAACGACGAGAGGATCCAACGGTCGGACMGTGGCTGGCGGGAAAGTGCGGGGCGAAAAAAACGGCGTCAAGTGTGCACTTGTGGCGGCGGCGKAGTGTACATAATCGTCGTCGTCGTTTTCAGGTACATAACGACGACGGTGAAAAAGTTCATCCACCACCACACGTCGTCCACTGGGACGTTACGTCCACAATGTATTAMAACGAGGAAACACGGACAAGTCAACGTTCGACCTTCAGACACTTGCCAGAAATAAATAAATTTTTTTTTAAAAACATCACACCAGACACACGACCCGAGGGGGGACACACCGACACCACAGACACTCATCGGGTTTCGATCGGTACACCAAAATAATTACACACACGCACTGGGACGTGCACCGGGTGGGTAACTTGCCAAAAAGCCTCTCTCGGTCTGATCTTCGTGCACGCGACCCAAGTGTGCTGCAGACGATAGCACCGATTGTGAGTGTGTGTRTGGCTGTTCATGCGACGAAAGTATGACAGTTAAAATAATATAAATAATAATGCATTTAACAGCAGAAAAGTGCATGTTTTGCATGTTTAAACAACTAACAAGTAGGTATGATATTATAATGATAATTATATTATATTTAAGCGCGAACAATAAAAATGAAAAATTCAGATAAGACGTACGCCGCACGCCGCCAACAAGACGTCCGCGTCGTCATCTCCGCCGGTGTAGGGGACTATTCTGCGAAAGGAACGTTGCCGCTAGGGCGGAGTATGATGTTTGCTCACCTAACAACAGCAGTTTTATGTCTTTGGCCGCCTGAAGGCCGTCCTCCCTGAGGTTCCTCTCGATTTGCCTGCTCCGGGCCAGGGCGGCCCGTTCCTCCGCCGACATAGCACAGCCCATCTTCCGGCCGACTTTCGCTAGGGCTGAAATCTTAATGCGCGCAGCTATTATACGCGCCGGGACGGATTCGCACCACCGACCGCCGTTAACCGCAACGGTGCCGTACCGGTGTTGTGCCGGTCATCGATACCATCTTCTGCAGTGCGCGGGATAACGCATGTTATAGCGAACGTCTCGGGGCTGCGCTTGGTGTCCGTAAAGACGACGACGGCGATGACCCGCTGCAAGCTACCGCACCGATGGACAGGCCGTCGGCGGTAGCAAACTTTCGGACACGAACCCTTAACGTGCTACACAGGATAAACTTTTCGCACGCACTCGCCACACAATATTCTAATAAACCGCGAAAACTCGGACACTACGAATAAAAAATACGAATTTTTAGAGGGGAGAGGGAGCGAAAAAATAATCAGTTTTATCGGGATATTATATTGTGCCCAGCGAACCTACGACAACGGCTATAACGACACGACCGGCGACGGATTATTATAAACACCGAACTGGCGCGCGCGCTCGCGGCAAATTACAACAAATAATAATATCGAACCGGAGAGACTACAGTGGTTACTCGGGTGGGGGACCGCTGTGCGCTTGCGAACTGCGAGATCGGCGACGGCGGTGACTGCGAAAACGGTTACGGAGCAAGCGCAAACCGCGAACTGACGCCCGTCCGAGTGCGCGCGCGCGCTATCGACTATCGAGTAATCGAGTGAGCGAGGGCGTGTGTGCGTGTATACATGTGTACGTGCGAGCGTGTTCACGTCAGTGTGTGCTAGTGTACGCACTCGTGCGGCGTGCGCGGAGACCGGCAGCTGACCGCCGCRCTCCGGGTGTGACCAACCTGACGGCCGGGCCCGCGCGCACGCCGCCGCGGTGGCATGCCTGCCGGTGGCAGGGATCCGCTCAATTTCGTTTCGGCGCAACACCCACACGACAGGCCATAGGCGGCGGCTCGTGGTTGATGGCCGGTCTCGACGGGTGGACGAGGCACGACAGCACGGGTGGCCGTCGCCCGTCGGTGGCTGCTGCCGATGATACTCAGACGTTCCAGCTATAGCTGCTTGGCGTCCTGACGACCGTCACCGCCGATTTCGCTTTTTATTCGTCATCCCGTCGGCCGTCGTTTTTCGTTCTCTTCACTTTTTATGTTATTATTATTATCCCCGCCACCGGCCAAGCGTGATACCCGTTTTCCGGTTGTTTATGGTGTACGCCAATATTTCCAAACCATATAAAATTTATKAACTTGGCTTATTTCGGTTTTCCGGTGGACAAACGAATCAAAGGAATAACAATTACCTCGCGCCCTGAATATATAAATACATTAGTCATTTACACATATATTTATAAACAATAAACACCATCAAATATGTTTTCTAACTTATAAAAGTTTTTTTTTTTTAATTTATATTTTGTACCTATCAACATTAATAGATACGATATCGTGCAATCTTAATCCAATATTATGCAATCATATATTATTTTCAACATAATAATATTTATAACRTTTTTTTATTAAATTATATCCTACTCTACAATTCTACGTCTCTACGTAATATTATATATATGCCTTCTAAAATTGGTACATATACAGGAGCTGCAAATAATTATCGTTATTACGTATTACCTTTTTGTATACAGAAAGATTAATTTAAGTTGAATGTTGATACACTAATAATTATCTCGAAAAGTTTTAACTTTTTTTGAATTTTTTTTATTAAACTTTSATGTTTATGATTTTATAAAACGGTATAATATTTTAATTGTTTTCGCCCTTTATATTTATTTATTGATGAAACCAATATCAACTTTTGATTTTCAAATGGTATAACATATAATTAAAATAGCATGCATTAATAAAACCATTCTTTTTACGAATTTGCGTGTTAACATCTTAATTTTTCGTAGATTAGTTTGTGAGATAGAGTTCTACCAAAAATTGGTAGTTTTTACTATTTTTCCAATAATTTCAAAGAAGACCAAGAGCTAGTGATTAATTCGATATCGCTGAATCCAAGGTAACAAAATAAATAACAATTAATTAAAGATTACAATTGTACTTTGAACCCTAATCATTTAWTAACTTATCGACTAATTGTTATTTATTTTGTTACCTTGGATTCAGTGATATCGAGCAGTTATTCACTAGCTCCTGGTCTTTACAATTATTGGAAAAATAGTAAAAACCCCAAATACTTTGAAGAACTGTACCTCACAAATCAATCAACAAAAAATAAAAATATTAATACGTAAATTCGTGAAAAAAAAATGGTTTTATTAATTCATGATCTTTTAATGATATGTTACTGTTTGAAAATCAAAAGTTGATAGTGGTTTCACCAATAAATATAAGGGCGAAAAAATTTATATACGGATTTAGAAAACATAAACCCAAAATTAAAAAAAAAAATTGCAAGAAAATTTAATACTTTTCGAGATAATTAGTGTACTCACTTAAATAAATCACTGTATTTAACCAGGGGTGGATTGACCAATAGGGAAATCGAGAATCTACCCGATTGGTCGATACTTATGGATATGGAACCAGTGAATAATATAATCGACCAAAATGAGACAAGAAAAAAGAGTMGTATCTATCGTACGAAAGCGCAAAAATTCTAGGTACTTGTGTGCTACGTTTAATCAGTGGCATAGCAAGGGTATGGCGAACTGTGCCTACGCCAGGGGCGCAAATTATGAAGGGGCGCAAATAGATCAACTAATGGACAAGAGAGACTCGCAAGCATGGCACTTTTATCCATAGAACATGAATTTTCTAGACAAATTTCATATGACGAAATCATCGATTAATTCTCTAGCCTTAAAGCAAGAAAATAAAATTTCTAAAGTTCAAAATTACAATGTAATAATAACTGATAATTATATAATGTTGTATTGCCTAATTATATAATATATAAAAAATAAAAAAATATATCATTTCGTATTTTCGTCAATTTTTTAATCGCTTAAAAGGCGCATTTTCCTAGGTTGGCCAKGGGCGCTAACAAGTCTCTTTCTACGCCACTGCGTTTAATATAGGTATACGTACCTATAAACAGATATTAAATTTAGAACCATCTCGTTCAAAATGGAAAAAATAACAGAATGATGAAATAAATAAAGTATAGAATATGTGAAAAAAGTTGAATTAAAAAATCAACCAATTTATTAAAATTATATTTATATTTAGGTAGGTACATAATATTTTAATGATTATTGACAATTTTAAATATGCATTACTTAAACCAAGCTAATTATAAAAGTATAAAATATTAATTTTGGTGCCAATAATAATATGTCATTTTTTCCCCTTTGGAGCTTATGTTACACAGCCAGTGGGCCACATTAATACATTATAATCATATAATCACAAAAATAAGTAATTTTTTTAAAAAACATGAACACTGAAATATTATTACAGTAGGTATTTGGAAATCATATAATACGAATAATTGTAAATTAATAAATATATTAATGCAATAATAGGCACTGGTGCACTAGTTCAAGAATATTGGTAGGAAAAAAACATATTTAAATGTAAATATAAAATCATAGCTTATAACTACAAATATATTATAATAACTAATAGTTACCTAATTAATGATTGTGATCTGTGAATAAAATTGTGTTTTACTCTTATCAATAAATGTATTAGAGGTAAATTATAGATACTTAATTCTTATATTGTTAATAAAAAACACWTTTATACAATTTCTTATAAATCTATTATTTTCTAAGAAAATKTATCAAATACTAAATATTTAATTGGTTTTACAAATTTGGTTTTTATACAGTTAATTATATATTTAAAATAATGGTTGAATTGAATTTTCTAAAATAAAGTATATTAGTAAAAATTACATTGGATTCACAGTTTTGTTATAACATGCTTTACACTTTATAAAGCTAAAATATATGAAAAAAA